TTTCTGAATTTCTAGTAAATGATCACAACTTTCACATGACTTAAAAAAGAACAATATTTTCGTATTTTCTCTATACATAATTTATAATGTTCTTCTTCATTATACACTACACAGTTTCAAAACCAAGATGTGAAGATTTTATATATGAGTAACGATATGGGTTTGAAGAAGAAAGTTATAATTTTTTCAATTTTGTCACACTGATATTTTTCAGTTTCTTAGAAAATATATATATTTATACATTTTCTATCAATTATATATATATCTCACAATTAAAAATTATTCACATGTTCTGTTGACTGTTGGCATACTACTATTATAATATTTTGACATAGCAATTCTGTTTGGTGCATTTTGAAATACCAAATGCCAACATTTTATTTTATCTTTTGAAAAGGAAATAATAAATAAATGTTTCTGAACTATCACTGTCATCATTTTGATCTATAATTTCATCAATTTTCTCATCATTGTCAGCTATATTTCCATCATTATAACTACAGTTGTTATCGTCTAGTTAGAAAAATTTTGGTATTACCATTTGTCTAGATAAGTATAAATATGTTTTTAAGGAGACATAGAATTTTTTAAAAACATTTGTAATAATAAATTTTAAAAATTATGTATGTATTCATTTACTAATAAATAAATTAAAATATGCATGCAATTCTAACAGAGAAATTGCCACTCNTTATTAAATATTATGATATCCACTCCATCTGATTGGGTTAACAGATATGCATGTATAGTATGTAACTAAATGCTTTCTAAGAATAGCAATTTTGATAATTGTGCATAATCATTTGGATTATCTTATGATTATTACACGTACGTTATCGCCGTAACCGGGTCAAAGTCAGTCTTATAATAGAAAATTACCGAGAACATCTTCCCAGATGCGCATCATTATCATCATCCTGTTCAGTCGCGTTTAACCTAGTAGCATATTATAAATAAGAAAGATTAATGGAAGTATCAATAAGTCTTATATCCGGATATAATCCTACACTGGGTATATTGTTGATAATCTGACAACCTACAATAACGTTATAAAATTGACATGCTAGTATGTATAATTTTTTTTAATATCGAGGTCAGATTTTTTTTCCCGAAAGATATATTTAAAAACCTAGTTGATGACACAGTTATTTCGTAACGGTAGAGGTAGAATGCTACTTCGAATGCCATTCTTGATTGCATACTAATTGGTTTGCCAGATATTGCATTCGGCCGTGCGTGAAATGTGTTTGGTTTATCTATATAATCTAGATTTAAATTTAAAAAAAAATTCACGGCTTTTTTTATTATTGTTGTTGTTGTTGCTATTTTTTTTCCTGTTTTATGCGGCAAAATCTTGGATGTGTTGCCTTCGCCGAATAAAACGAAATGGCACAGTTCCAAAACGTAAGTCGATCTCGACACCAGCACACGTGGTCAGCATATGACTAGACAGCAGTGAAATTTTTGTATATAATTTCAACCGGATGCTGTACTGACCACGAATATACTCGCTCACTCTCTCTCTCTCTCCCTTGTACGTCAGACAAATGGAATAGGCCGCATACCTATACGAAATACCTGAAGTGGGACAAAATCCGGTCGGACTAGTTGTACTGCACCAGTCACTACTTCCTGGCTGAGCGTTCTAGCTGCTTGTAGTTTGTTTGTGTCTCCCTCTTCGTCATGAGTATGTACGACGGTGCCTGTGTATTTTACTTCCCATCCTGTGATAGGTAGTTTTATATATATTATGGAAGGATCGTGCGATCTCGACAAAGGGACGGTTTATTTCGATAACGATGCTAACGAAGATGAAAATTTCGTGGTCGTGTCAACCCTGGTAAGTCTTGTATATAATTTTTAGTAAGGGGTATAATTCTATTATTTAGTGTAATTACATTCAGACGGTGCAATAAGGCAGAGAATATTATTTATAGACGTATTATTCCACGTCATGTCTTAGCTAGTGACTAACGAAATATTGCGAAAAAATTTTGATATATTTTTTTAAAAAAATATTCTCATTGCGCAATTTTATAACACTAATGTAAATGAAACCCGTAGTTCATTTTAGAATAAAATAATAGCTGAAGAACTTTTTAATTAGTATTGTGAAATATTTATATGGTTCAAAGAGTTTGTTACGTCAATCCGGAAGTTTTTTTTTCGTATTTCCCTAATGTTTAAAAAGAATTTTTTATTAGTCGATACAAATTTTCATGATTTATGCCATCTAGAATGAATTATCAAATTCCTGAATATATATTAAAATACCTTGCTTAGATAAATTTTTCTTTTCCTTTTTTTTATGCAGTTTCTAAACAGTGTAACGACATTCACCATCAGAATTTGTTGTAGCAGATTTCCTCTAGATTATTGCTGACGAAAAATTACACAGCAATCATTGTTATATTATCCGTAATTGCTTAGTATCGTTTCAAAACAAAATGATGATTTCATCTTGTGTTCACCCTCCTATTTCCGTTTTGCGTGTACAAAACGGAATGCTAGAGGTGCAGCGAACAGATTAGGATTGATTAAATATCATACTTATTTTTATTCATATTTGTTTATATATTCTTCTCTTCCATCGGGTCTCTTACCTAAAAGTAGGTTGCTACACCACGAAGTACGAGGTAAACCCCCACTTTGTTGATAGTTTATTGTGCGTTTTTTTCCCGTTTCGCTTTTAATTTAGCTGAGGATGAAAAACACTTTGCTGCATTGTTTTTAATCGTTGAAGGCATTTTTATCTTAATTAATTTTCGATTTTTATGGTTAATGCTGACCTTGTTCGTTTCACTCATGAAGAAAAAATACACTCCACTTATTATATCGAAATGTTAAGCATGCTTGCTTTGTAGATTTTTCACGATACAGCGACAAACCAAAACCGATTCATCTGCAGTTCTTCGATTTATTAAAGTGCTTGTTAAACGCGGTAAACTCGGATTGTCCAGGATTAAAGGGTCAATTAAACCATCGAATTCCAGGCGTTTAAGCGGGATTACGCTTCCTAACTCAATAGAACTTAACGAACATCGACCTCTATCGAATGTGAAAGTTCTTAGTTGTTGTCTCCCACACTTCGTTGACCAAAACAGATTTCCTGTTCGACGAAATTTCATCCTCTTACACGTTTATAGTCCTATTGATTTATGAGTATATTCGACCATTTCGGTCACAGTAGATGTATTTATTTTATCATTTTCCGTTCGGAAGTGGCAATTATTGACGATGCGGATCATTAAACGGCGTTTAGTAAAGTAACCTTATTAAGATAGTTTCTCGGCCGTTGATCTCGATAATAATCACCCGCAATACTTCAAAAATAATTCGGAACACGAGAGTAGTGGGTTATAGAGTTTAGCATTTCTCACGACCTTTTGGTTTTATGTCGAGAAGAATTGTTTTTCCTTTCATCGGACGACTGACAGGATGCGATATTCCACGCTTTATTCACTGTAATGACATCATCCACCACTTCCCTTCCATACAGTTAGAGATGCACGATATGACAGTTGGGTCGTACCTCAGGGTTGTCGCACTCGATCAAGATTGTCTAGCCAAATTCAAATGTTAAGACCTTCGCACAGTTGCGACACTCGAAGGGTGGTATACGCAGTGTTGCGTCACAAGTAAACGAGTAGTTATAACACAAGTTTGGCAGTGGGTGGTATTATTAAGTCGGTTTATTACACTCGGTACACGCAGTACGTTTCCTGTCTTTATCGTGTTTAATTGAAGTACGATTTTGAGAGAATAAGACTTGTAAGATACATTTCAAATGTAGATTTTAATCTGTTCTACTTCTCCTTTTCTATTGTTTTAAATACTAGTTAAAGTCCGGATATCTCTTTGTATAGTCATCTTGCATCGAGGTTAATCCTTACGTTTAGAATTTATTTTGCTTTTTCGATTCGATCCTGACCTATTTCTGGAGAATGCGCAGAATCAAAACTTTCTTGATGTACATCCCGTCGTTGAACTGATTATTCGGTCATCCGTTGTTGTTTTTTTTCCGATATATGTTTTTATTTAGCTGTCACCTCTCTAAGTCAAAGATCATTTCTGTCTGGTGGAAATAAGGTCGCAAATGTAAACGTTACACTTTTTTTTGTGTGTCTTTTTATTGTGAATTTGCCGTTCTGAACTAGATTATTCAATGAAAATTTTGATGTTATTTCACTCGAATGGTATTAAAAGTTTAAAATTGTTTCTTCTCTAAATGATCGAAGTTACATGTTTTTAAATCACGAAGACAAACAGATAATCTCATATTTATCCGTCTGTATTATCTATAAATATATTGATAGGGTCGTTGAACTCGTGCTTCCGCTTTCGTCCGATCCTTTACTCGAGTTACAAACTCGGATTCGTTTCGTGTCTAACCTACGACTAACTTTGTCCTTGTGTGTGTGTGAATAGAATGAAAAAAAAAGTCATATTCGTTGACATGGCGTATCAAAATTGCAATAATAAATCTTAACGGTCTAGCGACAACCAATGGCTGATGTTGCACGTTAATTGACGTACGTAAAGTCTTTGCTGCATGGATTTCTTTGTAACAATTGTATATTTCGGGATGTGTTCGATGTCAGTAGATAATGCTCTTTAAATTGAGTTAGCAACAGATATTGAAAGTGATGATACGAAATAAAAAAATGTATATGCTCGATATAGAAAAACCCATGACTAATACTGGACTTCGTCCGTTTCGGATGATGCGTGGTTTCAGAAGTGCGATGGATGAGTTTTTAGACATTAAGGTATTATTTTCGGGATTCATTGTATGAATTTAATGTTGTTGTTATGATTAATTTTGTTAGAAATTGATGATGATGACTTTAAATTGATTTTTATTTTTGTAGGGATGACATATTGATTGAATACATTGAATATAGGACTGTTCGTTTTTTAATTAAGATATATGTATATATTTTTAGATATTTTTATTAATTCGGCTTATTATTAAACACTATTTTTTTTTTTCTTAACAGCAAGATGAAAATTTTGTTGTGGCAGCGTTATTTTGTGCTGTGGAAGAGGGAAATCTGGCTGGATTGGAAGAATTGTTTTCTATGTCTAATATTGATGTTAATCAATGTAATAGGGTAAGTTTTAATTAATTTATTTATAAATATTGGAAATAAAATATTTTAATTTTCTTATATAGGAAAAATAACTTTTTTATTTCTATTAAAGACAAAATTTTTTATTTATAAGTTATAAACTTAATTGAAGTAATTTATATATCGGGTCTCTTACCTAAAAGTAGGTTGATTATCATTAATACGTCATTATATAGATTAGTATTTTTTCTGTCTAAATAAATAATGGATAAATTAATGGATGTGGCAATATTAATTTCAGACAAAGGTATTATATGAACATTAATAATAGATTTTATTCATTCATTAGTAACAAAAGGATTATATTTGGATGGCTTATAAATAATTGAAACAAAGTTAATTTAGATAGAATAAATTTTACAATGGTTAATGATTATCATTGTTGTTTTTTTTTTTTTATAAATTATTTTTAGCCTCGAGATTTTACTGAAGTGGTTGTCCGAAAGAAGAATGAAATAAATATTGATAATTTTAAGACATATTTAGCTAGACAGAGATGGAAGGTACTTAATTTTATTCTTTAAATAAATTATTATGTTTTTTTAATGTTTAATGCTTGAATTGTTTTCAAGAAAAATTCAATGCATTGCATTTATTTTATCTGTCAATTTTAAAAATTTTAATTACTAATATTTACTAGAATTTATTGTAGATATATGGATAATAATTGAACATATTATTCAATTTTTTTTTTAGCATTCTTTGCTGGTTATAACTTTATGTAACAAATTGTCACGTAGTGCCAAGTTACGCAGTCAGAGCAGCGTTAACATGATAGAATATCATTCTGGCATCCGAGATATGCCATTCATAAACAAGGAGGTAATTATTACTATAAAACATAACAAATTTCATATCCCTTCTTATCCTTCTATAAGAATGTGAAATATCTTTTTTAATTATATTTTGTAACTTTTTAAAACCAAAAGTTTGAATGAATTTATTGAAAATCAGGACTTCTCATTTGTTTTAATTTCATTTTAATTAAGAAATTAAAAATCTTGGTCAAAAACTAAAAATCAAAGTTTAATTTTCTGACTATTATTTGCAAGAATTAATGATTATTCAGCTATATAAACACATTAGTACTGTTAAATATTTTTTTTATAAATTAAAATACTAAGTTATCCTTATTTTGTAGTGTTTCAAGTGGTAATGTGATAAGTGAGGCAACAAGGCAACAAGGAAACTCGGCTCTTTGCCGTGGCGTCCCGCGTGGCTATGTCCCTCGCTAAGGTGTTTTCCGCTAGGTTCATCTTTGTCCTTTGCAGATGTATCCTCCGAAAGTTATAGACCTTCATTGAGAGAACGTTTCCTGTTCGAGAAGTTTTCTTAGAATGCAACATCCGGTCAGCGATAGGAAACCACCTTCGTCGCCGGATTTCCTCTTCTTCTTTCGAAGACTGTGCGCCAAAATATACAAGGACTGCAACTCTTTGTGACAACAATACTTTTATTATAAGTTAATTGTGTGATAAACGGGTTGCGTTGTTTGTAAAGGAGGCATCGATCTCTGACTGAACCGCTCCCACATGTCGTTGACTGTTAATGTCGGCAGTCCATACGATAACAACATATCTCGTATAATTGTTATGTTTTTAAAGTACTTTTCCCGCAATATGAAGAAGCGAGAAGGAGGAGAAGGAGATCTTTGAATACAGCTGTCCCTTGATAATCCGACAGGTATGAGACCAAAGGGGTGTCGGATTACCAAAAGTGTCCGGATTACCGAAAGTNCGTGTGTACCCCTACTTACCCACTGCTCATAACACATCCTAACAGTTCTATCAGAACGGTTCAGATGGCGGCCAATCCGGCAGTATGACCATCTTCCTCTCAATCCAACAATGCGACCTCTCTTAAACTCACTTAACTGAGTGTAAGGCTGTCGAATGCGTCGTAGAGGCATGTCTGTCACTCAATGAAGTCAAAACCATGAATAAAAGTGCAGAACATATGCACAAGTCGTCACAGCGTGCACCTTTATACCAGGCAGCGGAAACATTTTTTCCCCTCTGGTGGCGATATAACATAAGAACCTACTCTCAAAAGCTAATCATTTACATATCTAGCTAAGATGATGCAACATATCAATTTTTATTCAGATCTAACAAGTCCTTCATGGTGCGTTATTTTTTTTGTCGTCCAGTGTATATAGAAAATTGATGAAAAACCTGAATATTTTTAGTTTTTGAATTTTCAAAATACAGTTTTTATTAATTGCTAAATAAACTTCATATAATTTAGAAGAATTGAATATAGTTTCAAAATTTTTACATGGTATTAAAATGTTTTTTACAAATTACTGATTCTTGAAATCAATTTTTAATTTTAAATAATTTTGCAATGTGTTAGAATTTTGATATAAATTGATGTTGTGCTTTTGTGAACATTGTTTGTTTGCTTGTTAAAAATGTGATTTTATTGTTTAAATTAAATATTTTAAAATAAGAACAGTTTAAAATTAGAAAGCAGATTAATATTATTTTTAACAATTATTATTTTGTTGTTATTTTTAGTTTATTTTGCATGTTAAAAATTTAATAATAGTGTAGGAAAAAATTGCACTTTAGTTTTGTTTTGCACATTGTTTTATGTAATTGCCAATTTGTTAGCATGGTGAAACGGCTCTACATATAGCAGTCTGGCATGGATTTCCGAAGATTGTGCATGCTCTGTGCAAATTTGGTGCTCACACTGCCCTCAAAAATAAGGTTGGTTAATGTATTTGTGTGTACTTGTCTCTATAATTTTATTCCTGTTTTTAATACGTTGCTTATATGTTAGTGTTAAAACTTTATTCTAATTTGTTATTTTCAGAGATCAAATTTGGTATTAATATTTAATAAGTTTACTTATTTAAGATTATTTACTTATCGTTTGTAACATACATAAAAAAGTAATATTAATTATTATGTCAGAATGTAGTACAGTAAGACCCTGCTTAATGCGGGGGGATGCATTCCTAGACGACAAAGCCCTAAGCAAAACAGCGTTAAACGAGACCATTTTAACTAAGAGTAAATAGGGATAGGAGAACACGCAACCAAAAAATAAACATTTTTTACTATAATTTTAAATTATTTTTATGTAAATTTTTGCATAATAATATATGTTAAATAACATACAAACATATGTGCACAGAAATGTAAAGTTAATTTTTTATGACGAAGGTCCTGGCTCTTCTGAAATTCTTGTTTTTTGTGATGAAGTCATGTAATTTCATTGGTTCCCTTCTTTTCTTTCCTTAAGCAAATGTCAGTAGCAGAAGATTGCGTCCAAAATGCTTCATGTCGCTTTGGTACTCCTATCAAAATCTGGATCATTCTCTACAATTTGATCAACAATTTCGGTTATCATTACCAAACGTTTACTAAGGAAAACTGTAGAGAAGTTTTTTGGGTTCTTTGTCTTCAGAATCTCTATTTTCCAGTTCTAATGAATTCCTTGTTCTGCCAGTTCGTGAAGGTTGTCATTGGTAAGGCTCTTACCAGAAACCTGCAGTAACCCCAATATTCTGCTCATCTACATCTCCTGTATTGATTAAGTTGACAATTTTGTCAACCTAATGATACAGCGATAGACTATTCTTGATGAGAATTCTTGGATACTTTCATCTATAACTACTCCCCACACTCTGTTCATGCATTTATCAGTTAATTCTTGCCAAACAAAATTGATATTTTTTATAGCATCCATGATATTATATTACAACGAATTGCCACCTTTGCTGATTGGTTCGTGTTTAGGAATAATCATATTATAAATAGATCAATGAAATACTGTGTTAATTTGAATCAGCATAAATTTTGAGAGTTTTTTACGCGTCAAGCAGACTGCGTTATATTGAATCAGCGTGAAGCGGGGTCTTACTGTACAAATGTAGAATAAGTTCAATATGCAAATTGAAAGTTTAAAATTCTGATGCTTTAAAAAATATTTTTTACACTAAAGTTTCATTAATAAATGCATTCAGTGAAGAAACTGTTTTCTGTTTTGTACATATTTCCAAATTGATTAAATCTATCTATTCGTATAACATTAAATATTTTTAATTTATACAAATATCAAGGAATAATCTTTGTTTAATATTAATTCATATTATTGAGTTTTAACTTTAGAACAGCATTCAACAAGCTAAAAATTCATTACTTTCATTGTTTACAATTTAATTTTGTATATGTAATTCCTTACTTAAATTAGTTAACTTATATCAACTTAAAAAAATAGATCACTAACACACGTGTGTGGTAGTTATTAAAGAATAATACTTTGATCAAATTATTAATTTAAAACTTAATTAAATTGAAAATTCTTATAATAAAGAGAGTAACAATAATTTTCTCACTAGAGGGAAACACTTCTTGGACAATTTTTTTATTTTCATGCATGAGTAAATAAATTAAAAATTTCATTTAAATGCAGGTTTCGTATAAAACTTTTAATTACATCTCAAACAAAATTTTGCAATCATTTTTATATATTTAGGATGATATTTCACTCTGCAATTATAAATGCTTCATAATTGTTTTTGAATGATATAAATTATGAAATTAGCAAGCTATTATCCTTAGTTTCTACATAATGATAACCTTAAAATGTTTAGGCATAAGTTATATCAATAAGTATTTTATCTATTTTTTATTATTTGTTTGAAAGGATACTGCTCTTATGCAATTATAAAATATTAAACTTTTTATAGGTATTCCATATTGTGTATCTTAGTACAGTATCCATTCTGTTCAAGGAAATGATTTGAATATTTAGTATCAAAAAATTGAAATTGCATGATGTTGATACAGTAAATGGCTATACATTTATACATTCACATAAGTGAACATGTTATTAGAAAATGTATTTCAGCATTTATATTTTCCTTTCCAATTTCTGTAATTAAACATGCAAAGATTCTTATTTGACTCAATAGCATCTTTTAATAATATGCTATAGAGTGAAGCTTTAGCAAAATTAGTCTTGAACACTTAATTTTTATTAAATAAATTCTATTTATATATTATAATCAAAACTGTCAAAGTTTCATTTAAAAAGTTGTTAAAGGAATTCTACATAAACAGTCAGGTTTTAATTGTTTCTTATCAATATGAAATTTTATTATAATTATAGTGAATTTAAGAATTTCAGGAGGTAAATGTTGAATATTATTTTTAATATTCTGAATGGCAAATGACAAACCAAGAAATTTCATCTAAGTAATAAAGCTATATTTATCTTACTGTCTAACTGACGTGAAATGTTGAGTAGAACAGTCTTCTCAGAAAAATGAAACAGTACATTCAAAAGAGGAAATTTAAAAACAACATATATTTTAGGTCTTATAAGATATCACAATTTCTCAACATCTCCTAGATTATCATGATGTCCACTTGACAATTAACTGAAGAGTTATTATTTTTTGATTTTTTTTTTTTGTAATTTGCTCTTCATTATTAAATGACACTATTTTCAATTTGTATTATCATCAGTTATTGTTTAGATTTTTAAAATAACATTTTTAATTATTTAGTTAATAAAATGAAGTACTAAAAAACAAGAGACAGCAGACTAATAATGTCTAGCTCCTCCTTTTAACCTAATAAAAGCAACTATACAACAAGTGATACATAAATTCCAGTACCTTGTTGACTATGGATATAGTCATTCAGGCACCTAAGATGCCAGTTCACGTCACCTCTGTCCAAAATGTTGGCTAGAAGTGATTTCAAGTCAGAGTAGTCTGCACAGTGTTCCAAAGGTGCTTGTTTGAGTTCAAGTCCAGTGAACATGGGGATCAAGGAAGCACCAGGAAATCTTTGGAATGCCTCTTAAATCAGTCTCATATCACTTAGGCAATATGTCGTGTGCCATTGTCCTACTGAAACAACTGATCATCAGAAAGTAGATGAAGCACAATGGGGTGGAGATGGTTGGCAATGATGATTGTGTAATAGGAATCTGCGAAGACAGACTCCACTTGAAGTAATGGTCCAATCACCATTAGTTTGACTATTTGCTGGCTTGAGAAATTCCATAGCCATTTGCTTCCTCTTCTAACCACATTTCCTCACTTGCCTTGTCCCAATGATCCAACTGGATCTGACCTGCCTATCTTCTTGTTTGGAGGAAATTTTCTCATATTCTCACACTAGTGATATATCCCTTTAAAGAAATTTACTTTAAAAAAATGGACTTTAGCAACAGAGTCCAGACCTTTGAAGAACCCTGTTGCTAGCATAATGTTTTTCCCTTTGTTAGGACTGGTTGTCCATCATTTAATGTTGTTGCTATTTGGCTCAGATAAGGTACTGTACATTGCTTAATGCTTGAGCATAAGCAATGATTTACATGTGGCTTAATGAGTACAGAAACCAATGGAATGGAGTGTTCATTATATTCTCCATTCTGGACAGTCTACTGGGTAATGGATATACAGGCATTGGCATTAAAATGAAATGTAATTTGCCTCAATGTTGTCTTGTATTCAGTGGTTACAAGCCTGTAATCTTAATCTTTGGCTACTTGTTTGTGTCTGCAATGTTGACATCTGACCCAGTCTGTCCATAATTCTGATACTTCTGGTAGACTCTTGAAACTATAACCAGGGAATACCTTGGAAATGGATGTCCCATTTTTCTTGTATCTATAGTCTTTTCTCAGTAAAAAGGTGATAAATCTTGTCCATGTAGTTTCGCTATACCTGCTGGTTTTCTAGAAAATGTCCAAGTCTGAGATTTATTAGTGTCACATAAGTAGTTGAGCTGATTTTCATTTCTTGAGGGAGAAGAAACACACACACACACATATATATATATATATATATGTATATACAAACATAAGTTAAAGTGTCAGAAGAGACAGCAGAATATTATATGTGTATTAATTATTAATAAATAACTATAAATAATAATTAAATAAATTTTTCTTTATTATATTTTTAATTTAAAAAATTATACATTGCATCTCAGATGAGTCATAAAGTGGTGCTCACATATCTGTATTGTTTCTCAACACTTTGCATCACTTTACAATGCAAAATACTGAGGTCTGACTGCTGAAAGCAGTTAGAGGTGGGACACTTACTTGTCAGAATTTTTATATATATATACTGTATTTTAGAGAATATTTTGAAATTTAAATTTATATGGTATCTGGAATTATTGATAATTATGTAGAAGACTTTGTAAATGTGAGAATTTTCAGATTATTTATTGGAAGCAGACAGAGAGGAAAAAATTATTCACAAGTTTATTAGTCANTTATCATCATAAAAATATTTAAAAAACATTTTGCTATAAAATGTTGAAATATCAGTGAAAAGAGGACAGGAAATAAATTATCATAAACAATATAACTTAATGTAGATTTCCAAGGTTTTTTAGATTCTATGAATCTATATTGTATTATAAACATCAAAAAACTATTGATGATATGAAAAATACTCAATAATTTAAACACGTCGTTTGCTACTACTAACATATTTTTTGAACTTATTTAAAATAATCTATATTTAAACGTTATACATTCAGTCTTGAAACATTACAATAGTCTTTATATTTTTTTTCATTTTAAAGAAAATATATTTGTTTATTATACTTAGTGTGCATGTGTGTATTGTAAATTCAAAAATGCATTTCTTTAAACAAGTGATGAAAAATATATGTTACAAGTGTTAAATCGTTTTGGAAATTCTGGCTTAAAACATCTAATTCTTGTTTTTAATTAGCATAATTTCTTTTCATTTATCAAGTTCAGAAAATCTAATGGATAAAGAAAAGAATTTAATATTAATAAATTTAATTCAAAATATACAATGCAGAAGTTAAGTTTGTAAATAGCTATTTTTATTAAGTAATTGAATTTAAATTATAAATAAAACAAATTTTTGTGTTAAAAAGAAGAGAAGAATAAACATTTCATTTTCCATTAATTCTATAATCGTAATCTAAAAACATCAAAATAACAAATACTTTAGTATTCTTGTTTNTTATTTTTGAAGTTTTTAATTATGAAATGTTTTTTTATTTTAACCTGCTGTTTTTGAAGGAATATATCTTGTTCTACATTAAAATAATCTTTGAACTTATACAGAATAATTGATAACCAGTTGAAGCGTTGATTTAATTCTGTTTGGATATGATTTATATAAACTTTGTCTATGTCCTTGTTGCTATATTTTATCTAACATGAACGTTAATAACACATAATTATTAATATCTTTCATGTCTTTATATTCATTAAAATCTAAATGACAAAAAAGTCATTCTTATAATTGCCTAATCATATTTTTTAAAAAGTTAAAATTGAAGCTATTACTTATATTAATAGAATGATAATGTAAAAGTAATTTAGTTAGCAACGAAAAATTTTATTGCTGATTAATATACTGTAAATTTTTATGATGGATACTTTACATAATAACTTTTACAGAAAAACACTTATATTGTCAAAATTTAAAATTTAATGTGTGTAAAAATACCAATAAATTTCAACTTATACCAGCTTCAAGCTTGCTCCAGAATGTGCCAATTTATTGTTTTTTATTTTTGTACTCATCAGAGCATGTTATTTCAGGAAGTCTGTATTATTATCAGAGCAGTTACAAAGCATGAATAATGATTCGAATTTATGTGATGCTCCAAGAGACACACAAATCATTATAATACTTTAATTGAAGTACGATTTTGAGAGAATAAGACTTGTAAGATACATTTCAAATGTAGATTTTAATCTGTTCTACTTCTCCTTTTCTATTGTTTTAAATACTAGTTAAAGTCCGGATATCTCTTTGTATAGTCATCTTGCATCGAGGTTAATCCTTACGTTTAGAATTTATTTTGTTTTTTCGATTCGATCCTGACCTATTTCTGGAGAATGCGCAGAATCAAAACTTTCTTGATGTACATCCCGTCGTTGAACTGATTATTCGGTCATCCGTTGTTGTTTTTTTTTCCGATATATGTTTTTATTTAGCTGTCACCTCTCTAAGTCAAAGATCATTTCTGTCTGGTGGAAATAAGGTCGCAAATGTAAACGTTACACTTTTTTTTGTGTGTCTTTTTATTGTGAATTTGCCGTTCTGAACTAGATTATTCAATGAAAATTTTGATGTTATTTCACTCGAATGGTATTAAAAGTTTAAAATTGTTTCTTCTCTAAATGATCGAAGTTACATGTTTTTAAATCACGAAAACAAACAGATAATCTCATATTTATCCGTCTGTATTATCTATAAATATATTGATAGGGTCGTTGAACTCGTGCTTCCGCTTTCGTCCGATCCTTTACTCGAGTTACAAACTCGGATTCGTTTCGTGTCTAACCTACGACTAACTTTGTCCTTGTGTGTGTGTGAATAGAATGAAAAAAAAAGTCATATTCGTTGACATGGCGTATCAAAATTGCAATAATAAATCTTAACGGTCTAGCGACAACCAATGGCTGATGTTGCACGTTAATTGACGTACGTAAAGTCTTTGCTGCATGGATTTCTTTGTAACAATTGTATATTTCGGGATGTGTTCGATGTCAGTAGATAATGCTCTTTAAATTGAGTTAGCAACAGATATTGAAAGTGATGATACGAAATAAAAAAATGTATATGCTCGATATAGAAAAACCCATGACTAATACTGGACTTCGTCCGTTTCGGATGATGCGTGGTTTCAGAAGTGCGATGGATGAGTTTTTAGACATTAAGGTATTATTTTCGGGATTCATTGTATGAATTTAATGTTGTTGTTATGATTAATTTTGTTAGAAATTGATGATGATGACTTTAAATTGATTTTTATTTTTGTAGGGATGACATATTGATTGAATACATTGAATATAGGACTGTTCGTTTTTTAATTAAGATATATGTATATATTTTTAGATATTTTTATTAATTCGGCTTATTATTAAACACTATTTTTTTTTTTCTTAACAGCAAGATGAAAATTTTGTTGTGGCAGCGTTATTTTGTGCTGTGGAAGAGGGAAATCTGGCTGGATTGGAAGAATTGTTTTCTATGTCTAATATTGATGTTAATCAATGTAATAGGGTAAGTTTTAATTAATTTATTTATAAATATTGGAAATAAAATATTTTAATTTTCTTATATAGGAAAAATAACTTTTTTATTTCTATTAAAGACAAAATTTTTTATTTATAAGTTATAAACTTAATTGAAGTAATTTATATATTTTTATGTTGTTTATGATATATTATGATGAATTATTGTTTTGTTACATTTCTGTTAAGAATTTTAAACGTACAAAATGTATAACTTAACAAATAAATATCTAAAGTTTACATTTAATTTAATTTCTTTTAGCATGGAGAGACAGCAGTTCATATTGCTTCTGGATTGGGTCAGCTAGAAATACTTAGGTTCCTGCATTCCAAAGGAGCTGATATCTTTAGAGTAGATAGTGTAAGTTCAAACTTTTTAAGTTAACTTTTTAAATTAATAAAACTTATTAAATAAAGAAGAAAATATCTCTAAATTTTCTCAATATATGCAAAAAGATTTATATATTGATTTTAATCCAGTATACAAAATAATATAATAGTCTATAAAATGAAAATTACAAAATACTTAAATCATAAAATACTTTTAGCATTCTTGATGTCATTCTCAAGCCTTTTTAGCAAAATGAAGAATTTTATGTGAAATTTTAATCAATTATTTTATTTTTGAAGTTTTTAATTATGAAATTTTTTTTATTTTAACCTGCTGTTTTTGAAGGAATATATCTTGTTCTACATTAAAATAATCTTTGAACTTATACAGAATAATTGATAACCAGTTGAAGCGTTGATTTAATTCTGTTTGGATATGATTTATATAAACTTTGTCTATGTCCTTGTTGCTATATTTTATCTAACATGAACGTTAATAACACATAATTATTAATATCTTTCATGTCTTTATATTCATTAAAATCTAAATGACAAAAAAGTCATTCTTATAATTGCCTAATCATATTTTTTAAAAAGTTAAAATTGAAGCTATTACTTATATTAATAGAATGATAATGTAAAAGTAATTTAGTTAGCAACGAAAAATTTTATTGCTGATTAATATACTGTAAATTTTTATGATGGATACTTTACATAATAACTTTTACAGAAAAACACTTATATTGTCAAAATTTAAAATTTAATGTGTGTAAAAATACCAATAAATTTCAACTTATACCAGCTTCAAGCTTGCTCCAGAATGTGCCAATTTATTGTTTTTTATTTTTGTACTCATCAGAGCATGTTATTTCAGGAAGTCTGTATTATTATCAGAGCAGTTACAAAGCATGAATAATGATTCGAATTTATGTGATGCTCNTGATATTATATTACGACGAATTGCCACCTTTGCTGATTGGTTCGTGTTTAGGAATAATCATATTATAAATAGATCAATGAAATACTGTGTTAATTTGAATCAGCATAAATTTTGAGAGTTTTTTACGCGTCAAGCAGACTGCGTTATATTGAATCAGCGTGAAGCGGGGTCTTACTGTACAAATGTAGAATAAGTTCAATATGCAAATTGAAAGTTTAAAATTCTGATGCTTTAAAAAATATTTTTTACACTAAAGTTTCATTAATAAATGCATTCAGTGAAGAAACTGTTTTCTGTTTTGTACATATTTCCAAATTGATTAAATCTATCTATTCGTATAACATTAAATATTTTTAATTTATACAAATATCAAGGAATAATCTTTGTTTAATATTAATTCATATTATTGAGTTTTAACTTTAGAACAGCATTCAACAAGCTAAAAATTCATTACTTTCATTGTTTACAATTTAATTTTGTATATGTAATTCCTTACTTAAATTAGTTAACTTATATCAACTTAAAAAAATAGATCACTAACACACGTGTGTGGTAGTTATTAAAGAATAATACTTTGATCAAATTATTAATTTAAAACTTAATTAAATTGAAAATTCTTATAATAAAGAGAGTAACAATAATTTTCTCACTAGAGGGAAACACTTCTTGGACAATTTTTTTATTTTCATGCATGAGTAAATAAATTAAAAATTTCATTTAAATGCAGGTTTCGTATAAAACTTTTAATTACATCTCAAACAAAATTTTGCAATCATTTTTATATATTTAGGATGATATTTCACTCTGCAATTATAAATGCTTCATAATTGTTTTTGAATGATATAAATTATGAAATTAGCAAGCTATTATCCTTAGTTTCTACATAATGATAACCTTAAAATGTTTAGGCATAAGTTATATCAATAAGTATTTTATCTATTTTTTATTATTTGTTTGAAAGGATACTGCTCTTATGCAATTATAAAATATTAAACTTTTTATAGGTATTCCATATTGTGTATCTTAGTACAGTATCCATTCTGTTCAAGGAAATGATTTGAATATTTAGTATCAAAAAATTGAAATTGCATGATGTTGATACAGTAAATGGCTATACATTTATACATTCACATAAGTGAACATGTTATTAGAAAATGTATTTCAGCATTTATATTTTCCTTTCCAATTTCTGTAATTAAACATGCAAAGATTCTTATTTGACTCAATAGCATCTTTTAATAATATGCTATAGAGTGAAGCTTTAGCAAAATTAGTCTTGAACACTTAATTTTTATTAAATAAATTCTATTTATATATTATAATCAAAACTGTCAAAGTTTCATTTAAAAAGTTGTTAAAGGAATTCTACATAAACAGTCAGGTTTTAATTGTTTCTTATCAATATGAAATTTTATTATAATTATAGTGAATTTAAGAATTTCAGGAGGTAAATGTTGAATATTATTTTTAATATTCTGAATGGCAAATGACAAACCAAGAAATTTCATCTAAGTAATAAAGCTATATTTATCTTACTGTCTAACTGACGTGAAATGTTGAGTAGAACAGTCTTCTCAGAAAAATGAAACAGTACATTCAAAAGAGGAAATTTAAAAACAACATATATTTTAGGTCTTATAAGATATCACAATTTCTCAACATCTCCTAGATTATCATGATGTCCACTTGACAATTAACTGAAGAGTTATTATTTTTTGATTTTTTTTTTTGTAATTTGCTCTTCATTATTAAATGACACTATTTTCAATTTGTATTATCATCAGTTATTGTTTAGATTTTTAAAATAACATTTTTAATTATTTAGTTAATAAAATGAAGTACTAAAAAACAAGAGACAGCAGACTAATAATGTCTAGCTCCTCCTTTTAACCTAATAAAAGCAACTATACAACAAGTGATACATAAATTCCAGTACCTTGTTGACTATGGATATAGTCATTCAGGCACCTAAGATGCCAGTTCACGTCACCTCTGTCCAAAATGTTGGCTAGAAGTGATTTCAAGTCAGAGTAGTCTGCACAGTGTTCCAAAGGTGCTTGTTTGAGTTCAAGTCCAGTGAACATGGGGATCAAGGAAGCACCAGGAAATCTTTGGAATGCCTCTTAAATCAGTCTCATATCACTTAGGCAATATGTCGTGTGCCATTGTCCTACTGAAACAACTGATCATCAGAAAGTAGATGAAGCACAATGGGGTGGAGATGGTTGGCAATGATGATTGTGTAATAGGAATCTGCGAAGACAGACTCCACTTGAAGTAATGGTCCAATCACCATTAGTTTGACTATTTGCTGGCTTGAGAAATTCCATAGCCATTTGCTTCCTCTTCTAACCACATTTCCTCACTTGCCTTGTCCCAATGATCCAACTGGATCTGACCTGCCTATCTTCTTGTTTGGAGGAAATTTTCTCATATTCTCACACTAGTGATATATCCCTTTAAAGAAATTTACTTTAAAAAAATGGACTTTAGCAACAGAGTCCAGACCTTTGAAGAACCCTGTTGCTAGCATAATGTTTTTCCCTTTGTTAGGACTGGTTGTCCATCATTTAATGTTGTTGCTATTTGGCTCAGATAAGGTACTGTACATTGCTTAATGCTTGAGCATAAGCAATGATTTACATGTGGCTTAATGAGTACAGAAACCAATGGAATGGAGTGTTCATTATATTCTCCATTCTGGACAGTCTACTGGGTAATGGATATACAGGCATTGGCATTAAAATGAAATGTAATTTGCCTCAATGTTGTCTTGTATTCAGTGGTTACAAGCCTGTAATCTTAATCTTTGGCTACTTGTTTGTGTCTGCAATGTTGACATCTGACCCAGTCTGTCCATAATTCTGATACTTCTGGTAGACTCTTGAAACTATAACCAGGGAATACCTTGGAAATGGATGTCCCATTTTTCTTGTATCTATAGTCTTTTCTCAGTAAAAAGGTGATAAATCTTGTCCATGTAGTTTCGCTATACCTGCTGGTTTTCTAGAAAATGTCCAAGTCTGAGATTTATTAGTGTCACATAAGTAGTTGAGCTGATTTTCATTTCTTGAGGGAGAAGAAACACACACACACACATATATATATATATATATATGTATATACAAACATAAGTTAAAGTGTCAGAAGAGACAGCAGAATATTATATGTGTATTAATTATTAATAAATAACTATAAATAATAATTAAATAAATTTTTCTTTATTATATTTTTAATTTAAAAAATTATACATTGCATCTCAGATGAGTCATAAAGTGGTGCTCACATATCTGTATTGTTTCTCAACACTTTGCATCACTTTACAATGCAAAATACTGAGGTCTGACTGCTGAAAGCAGTTAGAGGTGGGACACTTACTTGTCAGAATTTTTATGTATATATACTGTATTTTAGAGAATATTTTGAAATTTAAATTTATATGGTATCTGGAATTATTGATAATTATGTAGAAGACTTTGTAAATGTGAGAATTTTCAGATTATTTATTGGAAGCAGACAGAGAGGAAAAAATTATTCACAAGTTTATTAGTCATTTTCAGTTTATATATGAAATTTATAATTATTATATTATAAATATAGATTAAATAAACTGTTAATATTATAAACTATAATTGATTTTGGAATGTAGCTACTGGAAAAATGTTTTTTAATGATAGAAATAAATTTATCATTTGTTTACATAGCTAATCTGGCTTTTATCATTTAATTATTAGTACAGTTCAAGCTTTATTTTCTATGCCTATTTATATAACATAGTTTACTGAAATTTAAGTATGAAGGATCAGTTATAAATTGGTTGAAAAAAAAATTATGATAAAGTTTATTGTATTATTGCATATTAGAAAAGTACTTAAAAATTTAAAAATTATGAATTCAAAAAACATGATTATATCTAGTGAAACAATAATAAACACTAAAAATAAATCATTTAAGAGGAGCAAGAGATGTTGCATTGAAAATCATTTAAGATACGCAATTCAGAATATCATATGTTGTTGTTACATAAAGTATAGTAAAATATACAATGTGAAAATATATGCATTTGAGGCAAATTGTAGTCATATTTTCATTTATTGCACTTGTTTTAAAGTGCTGATCAATAATATGTGCATTTGCATGA